GAATATCAAATTCATCGGTTGTCCACCAGGAAGCCATGCATTTTGAGAATGTTGTTATAAATTTTGGGTCACCAATGTTAGCTTGTGCATTGCGAGAAAGATGCCAAAACATAATATGTGCTTAGCATAAGGGATAACAGATTTGATAGCCCTCTGCATTGCCCTATCCCCATCAGTGACAACTGAAATAGGCGATTTATTCATCATGGCTTCTAAAAAATTTTGTAGCACCCACTCGAAAGATTGTGACGTCTCATCAGTGATTATGGCAGTAGCAAACACAATTGTGTTATGGTGATGATTGACACCGACAATAGGCATAATTGGCCGACCATACAAATTATCTTTGTACGTTGTCGAATTAATCATCACCGAAGCATGTGTAATCTGATCTCGATGTAGAATCCGACCAGATAAGATTATACAATGCCCCTGATTCGTCTACCGAGTATGTCATAAAAAAACTCGGGATCATCATGTTTCTTATAATCAAAGTAAGTAATAAGCGCATTCACATCCCCATCGACGATTTCCTTTGCTTTACCTCTTCGAAGTGCATTGTAGAGGTCTTTATGTGTAAATCCAACATTATGATAGCCCCCTACCTAATGTGTTAAATAGTTAATTACTTGTGACGTGACAACACCGACCTCTTTTAATGTTGTTTCCTCATCGATATCAGCCTTACTTATTGCTCTATTAGAATACATAAATGGTGTCATAGCAGGTGTGCACAATGCATGATTATGTTTCTGATAAGACACTTATAACCAAGTGATCGTTTGTATTTGTTGTTGTAAGTACGACTATAGCCTTGCATCTTGTTCTTGTGACTGGCGTATGAGCACGTTGACGATCAACAATATTGACTTTTGATACTCGAAACCCTTCTTTGGAACAACAAAATTATTGTGTCTTCACATTCCCTTCCACGTCAAGCTCTGTTGTTCCCCGATGTGCACTAAACCCATGTTCCCGTGCGAATCCCTTGTAAAAGTACCAAGCTTGATCACGTGAAGAGAAGAGCTGACCAACCAATATGTCAGATTCATCAACATTATGTACTTCATGGTATTCCTCGGTTGGCTTAACATTGTCTGTATCAGTATGATCCATGGCAAAAAATTTATTGTGCAAGTTCAGTGGTCCCAACAGGAGTTAATGGAGATGTAAGTAAAGGTTCATTGAACAACATATTTCAGTCGCGCTTTCAATAGGATGTGGTATTGGTAGTGGTAGTTGAAGGGTGGGTACAACATTAAATTCGTAGGATATATTTAGGTATGTACAATAACCACAAAATTCAATAGCTTTAAAGTAATAGGCAAATTTACAATTTAGGTGGTAAAAATAGACTTTTTAATGACAAAATTAATAAACACATATTTTTTTCCAACATTTTTTCCAGTATGGTTCCCAAACATAAAGTTTCCAAAAAAATGTGTCGATACATTTATTGTAAGCATGGATCCTAAAAACATCGAAGCCAATTATTATAAAGTAATAAGTAAAATATACCGGTTTAATGAGAGAATAGGTAAAAATATGTGTCAATACATTTTCTAAAAGTATCGACCCCAAAAACATCGAAACCAATAATTATAATGTAATAGGTATTTTAACAATGTAACCGGCATAAATATACAGGTTAATTACAAAACAGGTAAACATAATGTATCGACACTTGTGGAATTTGTGTCGATACTTATTGTCCAGAATGAATGCCCAAACGAGGTGCACACATAAAGTGCCGATACATTTATTAAAAGTATCGATCCCAAAAACATCGAAACCGATAATTATGATGTAATAGGTAAATTTACAATGTAACCGGTATAAATATACCGGTTTTATGAGAGAATAGGTCAACATAATATATCTACACTTTTTAAATATGTGTCGATACTTTTTTCCAAAATTAATGTCCAACGAGGTGCACGCATAAAGTGTCGATACATTTAAAATTGTATCGATCCCAAAAACATCGAAATCGATAATTATAATGTAATAGGTAAATTTGCAATGTTATCGGTAAATAACTTGTTAGTTTATATATATAAGTACTTGTACTATTTTATTATATAAGCGCTACTATACATTATAACCTATAATTGATGATATACGGTTAAATGATATAACATAACCGGTCTAAATTTTAATCGGTCACTTGTTTAACCAGTCACGTCGTTTTTTAGCCGTTTTTTAACCGCCGCACAACAGAACTTCCCGGAAAAGCAAAGAAAACAAATATGGCAACTTGTGGCTCCAAATCTATATAAAATTAAATGAAAACCCCACAAATTAATAGGGATGGACATGAAACCCGAATCCGACGGGTTCCGACCTAATCCGACCCGATATTTTTTTAAAAACATTTTGGGTTCAGGTTGGGTCGGGTCGGGTTTTATATTAAAATAATCCTACCAGACCCGTATAGTTAATGCATAATTTTTTTTACTTTTTTACTTTCCCTATTCCTACCCATGTGCCAGCAACTTCTGGTCCGGCAGATGTTTCAATGCAGCACAAGATACCAACAACTTTCATGATTACTAGGCTCAATCCTTTCACGTCCTTTCATGATTACTCCGCTTTTCATGATAACAAGAGACCAGCAATTTGTGAGTTTTAATAAATAAAAAAATTAAATCAAGTTGGGTCGGGTCGATGAAATTATAATTTCGTCGGGTCAAGTTACGGGTAGAGTACCCTTTCTTCTCGAGTTTAGTCGAATGGTCCAAAAACCCGATCTGCCCGACCCATACCCATCCCTACACATTGATGATGGTAACACCAATCACATGTCAAATAAATGTAATGTGATATTATAATTTTTAAAGGAAAATATGAGTTTAGTCTCCCTACTATGTCAAATTTAAATTCTCGTCCTCAGTTTTTATATAATGGATGCAATTATTACTATAGATGTAAAATGAAAATATTTAAATTAATGATATATTAACAGAAATATCATTTTAATCATAACTAACGTTAATCTGAAATTTGATCTTACATGGCTTGTAATGTGGGTGTTGTCCTAACCATCATTCGGTGGGCTCGGAATCGGGTTTTAACTTGAATTAATGTGTTAGAGCCGCCACCAGTCTTTTAAAATTAGGTTAAATGGACACATTCACTTACCATTTGTCTGATCTTCGTTTTACCATAAATTAATCGGATTTAGGAGTCGATTACAGTCAAGGAAGGATTAGCGCCCTTATACTGCCCTTTCGGTATCAATTTGATTTTTCGGTTGTCTTAATTGCGATAATTAAAAGTTAAATTAAAATTTAAAAGATCGATCTGAATTACTTACCTTTGATCAATTAGAATTGTCCTAAAAAAACAAATTAATATTAAAAAAATAATAAATAATAAAAATGAAAAATAATAAACAAATATTAAATTAAGAGAAATATTAAAGAAGGATTAAATTGGAATACAATTGAATCTAAGGGTCAAATTTAAGTTAATTGGAAGCTGCAAGGAGAAAAATAAAAGTTAGGGGATCAATTTACAAAATATAAGAAATATAAATAGGGATTAAATTGAATAAATATTCAAGGGCAAATCTACAACAAGTGATCAAATGAATTACACTTCAAAATACCAGAGACTGCGGAAATAATTTATCTTTCTTGTAATTACACTAAAGCCCTCCCTATAAATAGCTCTAAAACCTTTAAAAAAATCATTTCATCCTAATTCTAAAAAAAACACTCCCTTCTCTCTCTATTTCCTCTCAATCAAACCAATTGGCCGAATGGTCGGCCACCTTTTGGTGGAGCCCCATCGCCGCCATCCGCCGTGCCGACCACCACATCCATTGGCCGGAAAAATACTAAGCTAACCTAAAATGCTCCCCTCAACCCCCCTAAAGAAGATCCGAGCCCCAAATCCCAAGAAAACGCCTCTATCGATGTAGATCTAAACCAAAAGACATCGAGTTTTACCTTTTTTCGACGTAGATCCTAATTTGGACATGAAAATAATTATATAAAATAAATAAATAAATAAATAAATAAATAAAAAGAAAGATAAAAATAGAAAATAAAATATGTGTATTAAAACTATATAATACATAATATATTTAAAAATATATATAATATATCTTCAAATATTATATATATTATATATGTTTTCAAAAACCTTTTTTTAACTATAAATATATATGTTTTCAAAATAATATGTTTTCAAAAACTATAATATATATGTTTTCAAAACCTTTTTTTAAAAAATTATATATTATATGTTTTCAAAAATATGTTTTCAAAAATATGTTTTCAAAAACTATATTATATATTTTTTCAAAATTGTTTTTTTAAAAACTATATATTATATGTTTTCAAAAAAATGTTTTCAAAAACTATATGATATATATTTTCAAAAACCGATTTTAAAAATCGATTTTAAAAATCGATTTTAAAAACTATATATTATATGTTTTCAAAAACTATTTCATATCTTTAAAAATTATATATATTATATATATTTTAAATTATTATATATATTATCAAATATACTATATAATGTAAAAAAAAAAGGGGACAAAAATGGATTGTAGAGAAAATAGAAATACCTAAACACAATAAATTAGCTGACCCTCATTCCCATATATAATGAGGTAAGGGGGAGGTAGGATAGTAGGCTGCCCCCAACGCCATGTTGAGAACAGCTTCCGTATGAGACCTTCGAATTATAAAATGCCTTTCGTGAGACTCGATCCCACGACTCTAAGATTAAGAGCCTTGTGCTCTACGAACTGAGCTGGATTGTCGTACCACTATTACAAAGACAGCTAGCTTGCACGTGAGTCTTATAATACAGCAACACCAAAGGTGAATTATGAGTTTAATTTAATGTGAGAGTGTTCATACAATTGTGCTCTATTTAAGAAAACTCTGCATCTCAGCACTGCCCATTCATGGCACCTCTGAATCTCTAATTTTCTATATTCCCTCTCTAGCACCAATTGAATTTTTCCTTCCACTTTCCCATCTCCTTTTCTAGGCTACCAAACATGGCAACTCAACCAGCTATAGCAGACAACAAAACTCTTGCAGGTTTCGAGCCTCCAAAGAAACCTAAAAGAAACAAGTTTGCTTTTGCTTGCGCCATACTTGCTTCCTTAACTTCAATCTTACTTGGTTATGGTACGTAAAGTTGAAAACTTTACCATGGAAAATTTCTGTTTTTTTTATTTATGAATATTTTTCTTTTCCTTTTGTTGATTTTTGCATGATCTGCTTGTGTAGATATTGGTGTAATGAGTGGAGCTATCATCTTCATACAAAAGGACCTCAAAATCAGTGACGTTCAAGCTGAAATCGTTATGGGTATTCTGAACGTGTACTGTTTAGTGGGTTCATGCGCCGCCGGTAGGACCTCCGATTGGCTCGGCCGTCGTTACACTATAGTCTTTGCCGGTGCCATTTTCTTCGTGGGAGCACTCCTCATGGGATTCGCTACCAGCTACGCATTCTTAATGGTGGGTCGTTTCGTTGCCGGAATCGGCGTCGGATATGCCCTCATGATTGCTCCCGTTTACACCGCCGAAGTCTCCCCCGCTTCCTCTCGTGGCTTCCTCACCTCATTCCCCGAGGTATCAAAACTCTATGACTTGTATATGTTTGATACTGTAAGTTATTTATCTGACTTGGGTGATGATTTTGCTTAATAGGTGTTCATCAATGGCGGCATATTACTAGGATATGTTTCCAACTATGCATTTTCCAAGTTGAGATTACACTTGGGGTGGCGGCTGATGCTCGGCGTCGGAGCAATACCATCGGTTTTCTTGGCCGTCGGTGTTTTAGCGATGCCCGAGTCGCCGCGTTGGCTGGTTATGCAAGGGCGACTCGGCGAAGCCAAGAAAGTCCTCGACAAAACATCGGACACCGTTGAAGAAGCTGAGCTTAGACTCAGTGACATCAAAGCAGCAGCCGGAATCCCACAAGACTGTACCGACGACATCGTTCATGTCCCAAAACAATCCCACGGCGAAGGTGTATGGAAAGAATTACTTTTATACCCCACACCCGCCGTTCGCCACATATTGCTTTGCGGCATTGGTATTCATTTCTTCCAGCAAGCTTCCGGCATAGACGCCGTCGTTTTATACAGTCCGAGGATTTTCGAGAAAGCCGGTATCAAGTCGTCCGACCATTTGCTACTGGCCACCGTAGCCGTCGGATTCGTGAAAACGATCTCCATCTTGATCGCTACCTTCTTACTCGACAGGATCGGTCGGCGACCGTTGCTCCTCAGCAGCATAATCGGCATGGTGGCGTCTTTGACAACGCTCGGATTCTCGTTAACCATCATCGATCATTCCGACGAGAAAATAACATGGGCCATCGTATTATGCATCACGATGGTGTTGGCTTACGTGGCGCTCTTCTCCGTTGGTATGGGGCCCATAACATGGGTCTACAGCTCCGAGATCTTCCCGTTGAGGCTACGCGCCCAAGGAGCGAGTATGGGAGTGGCTGTAAACAGGGTGACCAGCGGTGTGATATCCATGACTTTCATTTCATTGTACAAGGCAATATCTATCGGCGGCGCGTTCTTCTTGTTTGCCGGGATCGCGACGGCGGCGACCTTGTTTTTCTACACGTGTTATCCGGAGACACAGGGGAAGACCCTGGAGGAAATGGAAGGGCTTTTTGGTAAATTCATTGGGTGGAGGAAAGAGGCTAAGAAGCTCAAGGAAATGAAGAAGAGGAAGGAAGTTAACGGTGGTGATGGAACGAGTAATGGTCAGATTCAGTTAGGAAACACTGTTACTAAGTAAGGCTTTAGATTATGTGGCGAAGAAAATAGCCTTTTTTTTATAAATATTTTTTATTTTCCTTTTTCAAATAATATGTCCCAAAGAAAATGAAGCTTGAGATGGGAATGGTAAGCGTGTCGTTGTGAAAAGAAAAAACTTTTATGCAAATGCAAGTAGGAAAACAAAAACTTTACATTTTCATCCCCTTTAATCAAATAAAATTACTTTTTCAAACCTTTCAAGAATATACCAACCTAAACTTTATTAACAGTTTTACTTAAATGTTCTTTACTAAATTCAGATGGATGGAGTTAACTCAAATTATTATTTTATTTATGATTAAATTTATAAGGTATAAAGAAACGTTAGACGTGTAAATAAGTAGAGGCATAGAAACGTTTGAAAAAAATCATATGGTATTTATTTGTCCATAGATCATGGAGCGGATGGATTATGTTCACCGACAGTGAAATTAAGGATAAAAAAAGTTAAAATTATTATTTTTATTTTAAGTGAATAAAGATTAAAATTCTATACTAATTATATTAAAGTGATATTAATATTCTTTATATATAATTTATAAAAGAAATTGGAGTGGGAAGGGTATATGGTTGTTTTAAAGCAAATTTCAATTCAAAGAGTAGTCCCATTCTGTTAAGAGATATTTGACGTGAAGGCAAAAGTATGATAGAGACGTAGGGAAATAGAGGTATTCAAATAGTTAATTTCATCATTGCGATGTTTTATTAATCGAATTAGTTAAATCTTTTTTCATTAATTGTTGATCGAAATGTTTTTTAAATGTTAATTGAACCGAGTAGTTTTCGGTTATTTTAGTCGGTTAATCGAATTAACATAAATTCTTAAATAATTTTTTAATTAAATTAATTTGAATATAATAGAGATATTTTTTATTTGGGTTAAAATTTAATTAGATATTGATAATTTAATAAGTACAATGTGGTTAAAAATAATTGGTTTTAATTCTTGATGGGTTTGAGTTTAAAATAAATATTTGATATATATAATATATTTAATATTTAAGTTTGGTTAATTCAATTAATCAATTGATTTCGAACCAAATTAACTGTTAACTAAATATTGAAAAAAATATTAATCCTTTATCGATCGAACTAATTAAGTGATCAACCAAATTAACTAAACTAATTTGCTTCCATCGATTAATTCGATTAAACCGTAAAGTGAACTACCCCTGTCGAAAACATGTTTTTTACTCGCACAAACCAACGATGGAAACTTTCGGCTCAGTAAGTTATCTAAGTGTGGAGTTAAATTTCACAGCAGCAAAAACCCAAAATGAGGCTGCTGCCCTTAGCAATCTTGATGTTGCCAAAAGATCCCACTTTATGAATCCTATCAATCCTAGTTTTCCGTGGCAGAAAGGTGCCCTCCTTGATTTCAAATGACTCCACGTATGGCTCCTCCAATCTCAACATCAAACCCTGGACACTTCTGTAGGTCACTAATGTCTGCTCTCTACATTTCACTTCAACTTTCCAAGCTTTCAGATTCATACATGAATGTCTTATAGCCTATACTTGTTTAGAAATAAGAAATCATCTTGGAGGACTTTTTCAATTATACGATGCAATGATTTTTTTAATTGTTAATATCCGACACTTTAAGATTTAAATTCTGAATTTATTTTTATTTATTATAAATATAACATATTACCAATAGGCAGTACGAATTGTTAATTCAAACAGTAGCTAATTTCATTTATAAAGCTATACTTTAACAAATTGCCTAACAAGGACCATGTAACAAAGAACTTCAATTCTCATTATCACAATACATTATTACTAATCATTATTACAATCTTCTCCTCGTCAACATCACAGCATGTGTGAGTGTGAGGGAGCTTATTATTATGCGACTTCTTTTATCATTTCATAGCATTATTTTGGGGGGAATTCCTCGTGAAAATGGAAACTACAGAAGGAAAAAGAGGGGAGGGGGAGGGGAATAATTAGAAAAATACAAATATTTTGATGCACATTAAAAAATGATGTTCTTCCCATTTACTTCTCAATGCCTTGCTGTAGATACTGTATAAGGTCATAGCCAGCAGTGGTCCACTTATTGTAAGCATCTACGCATACACTTTTCATGAAATTGGCAGCCTCGCGCTCCGTCATCTCGGGATGAAATCTCTTGCGAAGATTCCCGATGGGATCTCCCCTGCTGAAGCATGGCAATCCACTGTCTAGCATTAGCATCACCGTATTGATTATCCCGTTCATGTATCGACGAGAGGCAAGGTACCCCTTTATACACAAGCTGCGCAGCCATTTTCACAAACAACCTTCTCAAAATTCACGTACATGAGAAGGCGATAAAAAAAAAAAGTGGATTTACCTTACAAAGTGATCCCATGTTTCACTTTTCATAACTCCGGATGGATCCAGTAATTGAGTCATCTCATGGCTCAACTTGAAATGTGCACTCTCGAACCTCATGTTTCCACCAGGTGATATTTCAAAGATGAAACCAAAATCAATATGAACAAGCCTCCCCGAACTGCATATCACAATAATTTCAGTTTTTGGTTATTTTAATTTTCCTGAGGAGGTTAGTCCAAAGTCTGTTATTTGGACAGGACATGAGCATAGTTAGAGTTTTCTATGTTTTAATGCAATGTTTGGTTGCTCATAATCTTTTTCTAGTGGAGGTAGAATGATTTGTCACTGATTGCAGACCTAACCAGGTCCATCAGTCATCTGGTTATCATGTTTTCAATATTAATTATTTATATATGAGTATTCTTCCATTTCTAAAATGTCAAGGGAATAAGAGAGCCATACTTGTCAAAAAGAAGGTTTCCATTGTGTCGATCCTTGGGTTGAAGTAGAAGACTAGCGACAGCATAACCTGCACTGCTAACTATAAAGTTTCTGCGTGCAGCTTCAAAGCTAGGAGAGCCAACAGGCCCAAAATCCTGTTGAAAAATCTCATACAAACCACCATCAGTTGTTTCACCCATTTGGCTTCTGCTTCGTGTGTTGGGCACAACCTACGCCAAGGGAGAGAAAAACAACTCGTTTAGTAAAGAATTCATTACTGTACCTTAGGAACAGTTGCCGAGATCTTTTCCGGCAACACGGCACAAGCAGTATTAATATATTTAATGAATAACCAGAATGAAGCAAAATACGCACAAAACTTAACGGAATAGATGATATACTCACCTCAATTATACCTCTCTCTGGACCAGTTGGGAGAACCCCATACGGGAATAAATATAAATCAAGTCCAACTGCTCCAAATATGTCTCTTAATTGAGATATGACTTGGAGAGCAAGAACATCTTGTCTACAGTCATCTCCAACCTTGAATAGAAAGTAAATTATTAAAAAAAATGACAACATTATATAAAAAAATCAGGACTCTAAGATTTCGACCAGCATAACGAGAAAGTTATACGAAGTACAATATTGGAATCTGGGACCATATATATTAAGATCTGAAAACCAACGACTAGAAAGTGAAGTACAAAAATGCAACCAGTTCCTTAACAAGTGTTATCATCTCACATTTTTTGAGCTTGTGGTCTTATAGTCAAGTCATGCTCTCAACCTATTAGCAATTGTTTCAGGTTAGATACTCAACCGAGTATCAGAGACCAGGTGAACTCTATTGTTCGTGCCTAGGACAATGTGATACTGGCGACCCCTGTGAGGTTGTGCTTATGTAGGCCGCTGTTGATATACAAGAAGTTTGAAGTGGTGTTAAATGTTGGGTTTCCTGTGATCTTATATTCAAGTTGAGTCCTCCAGTTATTACCAATGGGCTTTAGTTTGGTTTATATAATAATAAGAAAGAGTTGGGGTTTGTGTCATCCAGAAGAATCAAAAGATATATTTATACAAGTCAAACTCCCACAGCTTCTGGAAACCAAGGAAAGTGCCTTTCGGTGCTGGAGGCTGTGTATTCCACTCTGCAGAATTAGTAACAGAGCAACACCAATGGGTGGACAAAGAATTCACGAGGGCTTTAGATTTCTAAAACTAGTTGGAAAAATATAAGATTAGGGAAGTCAATTTGATAAACTCAAATGCAGTTTACCTTGAAAATACAAGCCTGAGGCATTACGTCATTTTCGTCACCATTCTTATCAATGACATAGAAGGTGATCATGATAGGAACTTTTGCCGCAGATTGTAATGGTATTCCACTATCAAGTTTAATACCTCTAACAAGCTTATTAGGAGCAGTTGGCAAATAAAGGTCTTTTCCATTTACTTGAATTTTCTCTAATTCCCTGTAATAGTAGCAAACATGCAACCACCAGTTTTAATTGCAAAATCGAGATCAGACATGACACAAGCCAAAACCATTAAGAAATAGAGATATACCTCCGGATGCCAGCCCGGCGTTCCTCCTTTGGAATAGGATATAGGACACCGGAAATGGATGTAACTTTATCAAAGAAATCAAATTCTCTTTCAAACACGTCACGGGCCTGGGGTCCGAAACCATCGATAATACGTTGCCGAACAACTGGTAGCAGCTCTTGAAAATATTTAGCCTGGAATGAGAGAATGTATACAAGTCAATGGCCAGAGAACCGAAGGTTATAGAAAATGGAACTTCACTACATGTTTTCACAACATATTAATTGTATCTGAACCATCGTGTTAACCAAATATTCAACATAAGCTTAGTTCTATCAGAACAGTTCCCAATCTGAGACGACTCAGCTGACTCTCTTAACATGATCGAGCAACACCCACCCTTATGTCCTATTGGACCAGTATATATGCAAATAAGAGTTTAATTAATTCTTTACCATACGTTTCTGTAATTTTTCATTCTTATTTTCTTCTTAGATTATAAAAACAGGATGCTTATAAAAGCAGATTAGTGTGATTCAACCACAATTAACCCACCAATGGCCCAAAAACCAGCCACGTTTGCAAGGAAATAAACAGTATTACTTTCAAGCATTCATGGAAGTCGTAACATGCTTTCAAGAAAAAGAGAACACTGAGATGGACATACCCTTTCATCGGGTGGTCCTGCTAGTATTGCTGCTTCTGACCCCTCTTCAAGTTCCTCTCCCTGCCATCACAAATTAAGGCACAGGAGTTGCATATGATAATAAAGTGATGTAATGAAAAGTGAAGATGGTCAAATGTTTCATCAAAAGCTCACTAAAAAAAGGAATCTGTCTCATTGAGAATTTATAAAATTTTCACACCTGAAGACTCCATATTAGAATGTGTGCAAATATGTCACTTTTTTTAGTTGCTCTAAGCAAATATCCTTCTACCCTCTGCAAAAATGAACAATCATTAATTCCAAAATTAAGAAAAGTGAAAAAAATACGAGGCAGTGTAAGCAAAAAGCTAATTGGGGTTTGCAATTCTGGCCATTAGGGACATGCAGGATATCAACCCCGTGATGAAACACTTGTGTATCCAACAACTCAAGTTGCTGATCGCTTTACATTTATCAATTTACACATTGCTAATCTGATTAAGATCATTTGTGTGGTGTTTGTGTAGAAGGAATAAGAAGTCAGTTTCTGACCAAATGCTAAATTTTGACAAATACGCACTGCTGCTGTATATCTACATGATGGTTAATTGAACTCAAGTAGACAGTACTGATTAGTCACTTCTAGCACAAAGGATATATCATGCTCAAATTGGCTTGTATTGTGCAACATCTTGTATCAAAATTGACATAGGAACATCAATCAACGCTTAAATATAATCACCAAGAAGATACACTTAAGACCCACCTGTTATCAGGTTAAAACCCCTAGCATTGCACCTAATCAATAAAACACAAAATATAAACAATTAATGCCTATATCATAATTGATCACTCACCCCTTCATCATACCGCAGAGATTGCACGAGTTGTGGCATGTAGAATGTTACGTGGTCTGGTGGATAGGACTCCAAAACCCTTAGAACATAAGCCATGACACGTGGATGACCCTTATATAGAGGAGTAAGAAATTCAAGAGCTAACGTAATTGAACAAGCAGCCCAGTGAGGCAATTGTTGCAGAAGTACCGAATTCTCATCAACTGCCTTTGGGGTGACAAAAAATGGCAATGCCTCGGGTATATCACGGATGTCCAATATGTTTGACTGTATGAGAAATGACAGAAACTCGATTAAGATCATCATGATGGAAAAAGAAATAACAATGGTAGGGGAAGAACAGAAAGGACAAATCAACGAGTGTCTGGAATGCTCAGCATAAAACTACAATGACAATGTACAAACTGAATAGGATCATCTAGTTACTACCTACATAATTAATGAAAATGTTGTAATTTATAAGTTTTGGATTCTTTCTATTCCAGTTCAAGTAAATCCATGCAAGAAAAAGCATACCTGGACTAGCTGAGTTATTTCCGCCCTTAGAGACGTGTTTGTTGGAAACCTTGAGGCCAAGGAAAAAGCAATCCGGGGATCCACTGAGAAAGCAGTCCTGGCATGTTCGATCCATTTTTCTGCAGTGAGTTTGGCCCGAGAAGGCATGGGTTCCCTGAATACATATATAATACAAACCACATTTTTTAAAATAATGAAGACCAACAAAAGTATCCATCAAATAAATAAAGTTGGATCAAATATGAACAACTATATTCGGCTGAAAATACTTTGAAACAGGATGTGCCCAAACAAAAAGCCTATCAGCTTCATGCTCACACAGCATTAGAAGCAGCTGCTTTCGCTTTTCTCTTCCCACTGCATAGTTGTCCATTTGCCCCCAGACTGGGTGATATTCATCATTCTGCAAAAATTTAACTAACTTTAGGAATAACCAGAACAATCCATAAACAGAGTATCTTAATCAAGGTTGAAAGGCCTGAAAAAAAGTGGCAAAATGATGACCATCTTACCGCCAAAGTGTCTTCATTCTCCTGTACACGGACCTTGGAATCAGATTGCAGAGAATTTACCATCTCATTACAAAAATACTGAACAGCTTGAGCCTCAGTCTGAGCAAAATTCATATTGTTTATGTCATAAAACTGAGCATCATAGGCAAACCATCCCAAACAGGCCCTACATGCAGCAAAAACAACTTTAGATAAAAATGCAAAGGTATGTGAGTAAGCTTAACTGAAATTAGAACACAGACGTACACAGAATACCTGTTGCTATGGCAATGGCAGACAAATACATGGAAAAGAGTATCATTGTATATGTGTGTATACAAATAAATGTTCAAACTCAGCTTAATTTCTTTTAGTGCATATGAGGAAGCTAAGGGCGGAAGGAGGTTTTGAGCCTTAAGGACCTTAAGACTCCTAAAAGGGGTTACAAGTACAATCACTACACCAAGCCTTGGTTGCTGAATCCTCCTTAATTTAATCAAATTACTCTCACTCCTTAATACCAAAAGCCCAAAGAACTTGATTGTTTTGGAGATGAAAGAAACCCCAAGATATTCAGAATACAAACTCCATCTTCAATAATATATTTTCCAAATATCTTGATATTCATCACTGGCAATGTATGTCTCACAAACGGGACTCATAAGCATTTCTAAATGGTAAAACACAGAAGCAATGAAAATCTGTATTAATGTTTTGGAAATATATGAAAACATGGGCAATGGATTTGAACTCCATTTGGAAAAAAAGATGTCCTCGTGGTGAAAGCTAAATAAAATGGGCCCAGTAAGTGCCAAATGCATAGCAAAATTCCAATTTAAAAAATGCAACAGTGTCAAACAAGCCATTGGTGTAGTGGCAAAGGATTTGCATTGGTATCAAGTCTTCAGTTGACACCTCGTCCCAAGTTCAAACCCTGGATAACCCCTACCCCTCCCCCTCCCCCTCCCCTTATAAGAAAAGGAAAATAAATAGAAAAGGGAAAGGGAAAACAGTTGCCTTTAAAACATGGACCTTCTCTCAACATTCTGGGCAATAAAAACAGCCATAGTTCAGTGACACGTAATTTTCGAAAATATACAAAGGTAAATGATGTATGTATCTAAGAAAAAACTGAAACAATTATTCTTAAGTTCTTTACTACAGGGGGAAAACAATTTTAAGAATAACTGCAGCACTAAATTGCTGAGATTCTACGAAACCAGGAAATGCGATCATTGGGTTACGGTTGCCTACTTTTGCTAGTACTTTAATGGTATCATGAAATATTCTTTATTTAAATTAGGAATATTTATTTTTGATTTCATTAGTTTAAGTCTTTTATTCAAACAAATAAACCAATGTAACATCTATTTAAAGAGGTTGATTGCAACAATAAAGTGAAGTCAGTCGTTTATTCTAATTACATGGGGAGTTCGGTGACAATTTTTTTCTTTATTTTTTTATTTGAATTAATTTTAACAAATGAGAATTCCCAAATTCATATGAAATTACATTTGGTTTCCTAATTTGAGCTACAATCCACTTTCAAAAAAAAAAAAATGACGAGAGGTTAAGTTAGGGGAGGGGAAAAGTCGTTTTCCACCGAAGAGGTTTGGACAGCTTTCGTCAACAATCTGAGCAAAAGGATTTCGAGGAGAACACTCTGGGAGTTCTTCAAAACTCATGGCAAGGTCGTAAGAATTTTCATCCTGTTGGTCAACAACAAACCCAGGTCAGCTCTACTTTTGCTTTTGTCCAATTCGCCTGTGAGAGGGACCTCCTCAACGCCATTAGGAGTGGATGGTGCACTCGATGGAAGGGTGATCTCGGTGAGAAAAGCAAAATACCAGAGAGTTCGTAATGGTGAAGCGGTGCAGGGTAGGGAAGTGAATGGTCATTTTTCGGTTAGTGAAAGAGGCAGGACGGCAATAAGGAGACGAGACTCTTCTCTGGGAAGTTTCAGAGACAACAGATCGTATAAGGAAGCGCTACAGTCAGATAACTCTCCCTCGAAGATTCACCCCTCAACGGGTATTGGAATGGATGGAGGAGGTAAGAAGGAGATGTCAAAGCTTTTCTTTCCCCTAAAGGATTTAGGATGGGTCAAGCTTTCCCTAACTGGGATCACAAAAGCAACGTTCGATCTCGAGTTTGTTCAGAGGGTCCTGTACAATGATGGTTTTGACGTGAAAGCTGTGAGATTCTTAGTTGAATAAGAAATCTGAATTATCGTTTTGTTTTGACCGGTTGGATCATTTAGCTCAGGAGAATAATATTCCCATGGCTTTTTGCACCGTGGACCTCTTTGGAGTCCCTTTAAACTGTTGGCAGGAGTCTTTCTTTTCAAAATTGGCAAACCAATGGGGCAAGTTAGTATGTATTTTGGAGGCCACAAGGTTGAAGGAAGACCCGGTTGTCGCCAAATTGATTATAAGAGCGGCGAGTCCCTTGACAAGGTCGATTTCTATTTACTCTTTGGGCAGAACGTTTTTTATTAGTATCAAGACTGGTCCTCTAGGCCCGACGGCTACTTTTGATATGGAATCCGAAAAAGAAACTGAAAATGTTTGGCTTTCAGAGGCGTCGGAGTGCTCAGATTACGGTGGTTGTTGCGCCCAGACGGGGGTGGAAAGCCAACCATTGTATCTTGAATCACAAGACAGAGTGATGTCGTGGTTGGACGAGAGTAGAACACGTGGCAACCCAAGGAATGATTCTGATATCAATGATGCGGCATGATCTAGTCAGCCATCATTGAGGTGAGGAGAAATAGTAATAATGCAAATATAAATGCCATACTACTAGTTTCCCAGGGCGGCCAGAACATCGTTGTTGGGGAATATGCGGGTCTGGGCTTAAGAGAAAATATAATTGACCCTCCTTCTGGGCTTGATCAACCCACTATCAAGCCTATAATCGTGGCCCCAATTATACTATATTGCCATTTGATAATAATAATAATCCAACTGGGCCCGGTGATATTTCTTTTCATAATGGGTTGGATCTAGAGAATAGCCTTAGTAGAAATCTCAACCCAGGTCAAACTTTTATTTCAGTCAGAGCACGATCAAGCAGTGGGCAGGGAACTGATATTTTTGAGAAGGTTTACAAAAGATAGAGAAGGGGAGTCTTAAGGATTTCACTTAAGGAAGACAATAGTTCCACAAATTCGTCTCTAGTCGCCTCAAAACATCTTCAGGAGGTACTGAACACTTGAGAGGTAAGTAATTTGTTGGGTATCTGTTGGAAACAAAGCTTGGTTGATAAAGTGGTGAGAATGGAGAATGAGAAGGCTAGAAGAGATAGTAAATAATCCTTTGGTGGTTCCAGGTCATTTTTCTCTTTTCAATTATGTCAATTTTTTCTATCATCTCGTGGAATATCAGGAGTTTGGACAGGAAAGAAAAATCTAGGGCGGTTAAGAGACTGGTAATTAAGAGAAAACCAAGATTCTTATTTCTACAGGAGACTAAAACTTCTTTTTTTAAACCGGCTTTATTAAGAATGTTGAAGGGGAATAGTTTACATGGTCATTGCTTTTCACCTACTATTGGTGCCGCTGGGGATTTAATTAGTTTGTGGGATGAATTTTTTTTGAAGCTAAGATCAATTTATTCATAGTCGTCTTATTGTTGTTTTGGGGATTATCAAGGAAAAAAAGTTTAGGTGTGGTTCATCAACATCTATGGTCCGGTAGCTGGAGAGGAGGAGGTTTTTTTTTTTTTTTGAGGAAGTATTCTCCTACATTGAATAGGCAAGAGTTCCTCTTTGTGTTGGAGGTGATTTCAACTCGTATTTATCAGTTGAGAAAAAATTGGGGTTTCACAGAATTGGCATAGCATCAATGTCTTTCGGAATTTCATTAACAAGTCTAACCTTGTTGATCTTCCTCTTATTGGGGATCCTTCATCTGGTGTAACTACAAGGAAAATCCCAGTTGGGTCAGACTCGATCGTTTTTTGGTGGATAGCAACTTCATGACAATTTTTCCAAACATCACTCAGTGGCTTCATCCAAAATCTTTATTGGACCACAATGCAATAGAGTTGGGTAATGATGACGTAAATTGAGATCCGAAACCTTTTTGTCTCTATAGCTATCTTTTGGAAGATGTCAATTTTGTTAACATGGTAAAGCTAAAGATAAAGAATCTGGTTTCGGAAAATAAGCGGTGGGTATTTTAAGTGTCCTTAAAGGTACCAAATCATAGATTAAAAGATGCTCGGGGAGCAATTCTAAAAGGTCAGCAGAATCAATCCGAGTTTTGGAAAGAAAAATCCTGGACCTGGAATCAGCTCTTCAACAAAGAGCGTCTTCATCAAGTAATTGGAAGGCTTTGACCTTATACATGAAGGAACTTTGAAATCTATATCGCATAGAAGAAAGTATTTGGCACCAAAACTCAAGGGCAAAATGGATTAAGGATGGAGATCAGAACTCGAGGTATTTTCACATCGCGCCTCGATCAGAAAGAGGATAAATTCCATTAATTCTCTCAAGGTTGATGGGAATGTTATATCGGATCCTAAGCTAATTAGGAATTTCATTAATGGTTTTTATAAGAAAGTCTATAACAACTCCCCTTTGGAGATTGAGGAGATGAACCTATCTTTTTCCAAATTGTCTAATGAACAGGCTGCCCTTTTAGAAGATCATTTTTTGGAAGAGGAGATTCGGAAGGCCATAGCTTACTCTGATAGTAATAAAGCGTCGTGACCGGATGGATTAAATATGGGTTTCTTCAAGAAATTTTGGCCAAACCTCAAGGACCTTATTTTGAATTTTTTTAAAGACTTTACTCGGCCAAAAGATGGGAGGATGGGATCAACCATACATTCATAACTTGATTTCAAAAAAGTCTAATCCAGAAGGCATAGAGGACTACAGACCTATCAGTTTGGTGGGTGGCCTTTATAAGATTTTGTCTAAGGTGCTATCTAGGAGACTAAGGTCTTGTATCAATTCTATCATTAGCCCAGTTCAATTTGCTTTTATCCTGGGGAGACATATCCTCAACTATTCCTTTGTAGTGAATGAAGGGATTGACTATTGGAGGAAGAAAGGCCTTATGGGTTTAGTGCTAAAAGTTGACTTCAAAAAGGCGTACGACTCCATTGAATGGCTAATCTTACTCCTAACCATGCTGGAAATGGGTTTTGGTGTTCGTTGGATTTCTTGGATTGAAAAGTGCATCTCATCAGCCTCCATCTCTATGCTTGTAAATGGTTCACCATCGGAGGATTTTAAGATGGCTAGAGGTCTACGTCAATGCTACTCTCTATCTTCTCTGCTGTTTAATTTGGTAGGAGAGGTGCTGTATTTGATACTGGCAAAGGCAATGAAGGTGGGTCTGTTCAACAGTTTTCTATGGGCAGATCGAAGAATTCTTTCTTGCTATCTTACTTGCAGTTTGCAGACGACTTAATCATTTTTTGTAATGCATCGAGGGGTTAGACCCTTAATGTTATGAGAGCTTTGCGAGTTGATGTCGGAGCTCCAATTGAATTCTTCTAAAAGTAAGCCGTTTGGAATTAATGTTGAGGAAGAAAACCTTAGGTCATGGGCCTCTGAAGCTGGTGTATCGGTGGGTTTTTTTCCTTTTAGAATACCTATGATTACCGCTTGGGGCCAAAAAAATTCGAGACTTTTATGGGAACCTGTTATTCAAAAATTCTATGAAAAGTTGGCAGGATTGAAGGCTTCTACTTTATCTTTGGCAGGCAGACTGGTACACTTACAATTTGTATTAATAGCCTTGCCAATTTAGTACCTGTCTATATTTAGAATGTCGTCTTCGGTTTATAAGAAGCTGAACTCAATTATGGCCAGGTTTATCTAGAGTGGCAGCAATGAGAAAAACTGGATTCACTGAGTCAAGCGGTCTTATTTATGTTAATCAAAGGTGTGTGGTGGATTGGGTGTAGCCAATCTCAAACTTTTGAAGCAAGCCTTGCTTGGGAAATGGGCGTGGAAATTTGGCTCGGATTAGGAGTTCTTGTGGGACAAGATGATCTGCAGCTGTTACAATATTGACTTTCAATCCTTGTGTCTTAATAATCTTCAATTCCCAGAGTTTTCTTGGTATGTGAAGAGGGGTTGTAAACAATTGTGTGAAGGAGGATAAGTTTGGGTCTTATTTTCAAAATCACACTCAAATTCGAATGGGGAATGACAGAATGATCATTTTTTGGCACGATTCCTAGATTGGGGGCTCTTCTCTACAATTCCAGTTTCTTAGAATATCCACTCTTTCGACCAACAAAGGCGGGAAAGTCGCAGAATTGGGAAGTTTTGGTTCCATGGGGTGGGAATGGGATGTCCAAGTTAGAAGAAATCTTTGCCACTGGGAGCTTGATCAATGGCTAAAGCTCATGTCTCTTTTGAGCAACTTTTTTCTTGAAGAAAACTTTAACGATGGACTGGGAATGGCGAAGGAACCTATTCTGTTAAATCCTGCAAGAACTTAATATCTTGTATGGAAGGTGAAGACAATTTTTGGAAAAACCACGTCTGGGTTGGTTTAGCCCCTCCAAGGGTGGAGACTTTCTTATGATAGGTTCTTCATCGTAGGGTGGCGATTAAATCAGAATTGTTTAAACGTGGTGTTTCGAGAGTGGCTGATCAGTTGTGTCCTCTATGTAGGATGTTTCCCCAACCAGTCTCTCACTTACTCCTTAAATGTAGTTTTGCCTAGGCACTTTAGAATCATTTTCTTCAGTTCTGAAAAATTTCCATTGCTCTCCCAAAAGACCTCATCACCCTATTGTTAGCTTGGAAAGCTCTGGCCCATAAATCATGTATCTCCCTTTCATTTTGGGAGTAATTGTGTGGTCTTTATGGAAACTTAGAAATTCTGTAATTTTTGAGAATAAATTATTGATTCCCCTCGCCTTTTTTTTCTAGCAAGATTTCATCTTGCTTCATGGTTTTCAACTAAGCATCCTGAGTTTGTAATCCATTTAGACTCTCTGATTGGTGACCCTTCGATAGTTGATTCCAGTCCTATTTCTAGGAAGTATCGTTCACTTTCTTTGGCATCTTTGGTTTGGTCCCCACCCCTTGAAGGTTTTTTTGAAGTTGAATGTGAATGGCGCCGTAAATTGAAATTGGAGTAAGGGTGGAATTGGAGGTTTAATCGGGGATTCCCAAGGTCAAACTTTAGGTTCCTTCTCGGATCCTATTGGTTCCGGACCCCCGGTTTTGATAGAACTAAAGGCGATTAGAGCAGGTTTAGATCTCTTTTCTTCGACTATGGGGGCTGATAAGGGTAGGTTGATCCTGGAATGTAATTGTAGGAATGTTGTAGTTTGGATCAAGGATCATGCAGTGTGCCCTTTGTCTTTTGGAGCCTTAGTAAAGGAAATCGTTTCTGTGGTTAGAAGCAAGGAGATTCTGATTTGGGTCGTATGCAGAAGCACTAATTGGGAGGCGAATGAGTTAACTAAAAAGGGGATTGATTAATTTTAGGATTGTGGTTGTAATGAGTTATTGAGTTTTCTATGTTGTTTCTATTCTGTTGTTTGTAACCTCGGGGGTCTTTATAACCTCTATATTAATAAAATTTGAGATACTCTTTTCCCCTTCTGCATTTTACCTCGTTATTTTTCTGATTTCAAGCAATTATGAAGGGATTTTTAATGAGATCTCCAATTCTTAAAAAACAAATTAAATTACATAGGCATAAGACTTTCTCTTCTAACCAGTATAAGGTTGGAACTCCCTTTGATGAGTTACACACGTTCATCATAGGTTATTCTCACGGCATGAATTATAACAAGGGGAGAAGCCCCCTCGATCAAAGCATATTTTCCTATGAGTCGTCCAGTGACTCAATCCCAGACTCGGGATCATATGAATCGTCCAGTGACTCAATCCTAGACTCGGGATCATATTTTCCTATAACAAGGGGAAAGCCCCCTAGATCAAAGCATATTTTCCTATGAATTGTCCAGTGACTCAAAAGAAAAAAAATTAAAATGGTGTAGGTTGAAAGAAAGCCAGTGGCACTTACCGGTATAATCTATCTTCCAATAGTTGAAGCCCACGTCTAAAATTCTGCAAATTCCGTTGAGAATGGCATGAGCAGAACTTAATACCAAGAAGCATGAAGGTGAAGAAGGTACCAGCTGCCGCTGGATGATGTGAAAAGCTCCAGCTAAGTTTGGCTGTTCCTTGTAGCATCCGACCAATGAGCAAAAGTTGCTCAACACTATTGTGACGAACTACCTATACAACCAAACAAGGAGGTGCAGCCATAGAAAAAGTAGCATCACACATGGGAATGAGCATAAACAAAAAGAGATACAGGCACCATCAGGAAACAAGATAAAGAAAATTGTCAAATGCACCAACATTTAAGATGAAAACTGAAAAGCACACATAAATATACAAATACAAACACAAATATATTGGTACTACTTTTATGTTCAAAATTCAAATGTAATTCAATGATAAACAACAGCACCAACATCAGGGCATAGAATAGACTTGTGTGAAAGAGAGGATACAAAGTTATCAGTTACCTCAAAGCGATCAATAAAAAAACCTAGCCACAATCTATGAGCAAGTATTTGGTCAACAGGATTGATATCAGGCAGTGACTCTGGTTCCCCATGGGTCAAGTGGGGCCTCAATTTTGCAGCAGGTCCAGAGTATTTCTTATCAGATGCAAAGAGCCCTCGTTTTGTATCAATTGTCCATAACCATGCATCAACAAGTTCAGTAAGGACAAGAGAGCCCCACTGTGAAGCAGCTGAAACCAGCCAAGTCCATATGAAAACGCCAGTTTCCATAGCATCAGGGGTAGCAATATAAGCTGGACACCAGCAGAGAAGACGTAAAAGTTGCGAGAAGCCCTTCAAATTTGATTTTCTATCAGAACCCTGGCAAACAAATGAATCATTTTCAAAGGATAAGAGTGAAATGGGGCACAAATTACTTTTCATCAAAAAGAATGAATATATATTTTATACACACACGCATGAAATACTGATAGCTGTACCAGAGTTGACAGAAGCAATGCAGTTGCCTGACAACAAGTTTCGCGGAACTGTGACTTATCCAGTTCTCCACCTTTTTCTGCAGAATTAACAAATTGTTGAAGGAGACGAACGAACTTTGAAAGTGACACCTCATTAAATGCATCATCCTCAGTCTGCTGTGGTTGAGAGAATGCTCCAGAGATCAGCCTTTGGAGGCCACCACCAACACCTGGTTGTGGCGCACCAGCTTGAAATCCACCCATGCTATTATACAACCGTCTCATGCCAGCAATTTCTCCAGCATAGTTGCATTTAACTGTTGCACTGACTATACCAGTACTAAAAACCTCTAAGATGAAGGCTTCTGACAACTTCAAATTTGCTCCTGACGCAGCAGCTGCTGAAGCCATAACTGCAGGAATATTTGCAGTCCGTATTCCACTCCAACAATCATTTTTTCCCGTTCCAATCCTTATCTCTGATAATAAAGACACCACATCAGTTGTCTGCTGTGACTTCTGCCATGTGTTTGCTTTACAAAGCTTTTCCTGTTGGATATATGTCGAACCACAAACAAATAATTAAAAGATCCAGGGAAAAAAAGAACAAATCCAAGTTATTCTAAAAATGGCTTTAATGATGAAGTAAACCAAAAACACAGCCTTGATGATTAAAAAAAAAAATAAGAGAACCACCAAAATATCATAATTGAAATTTGTTAAGGCCAACATCCCAGTAGACGTGTAAGTTAAGTCCAAATTTTATAGAAAATAAAAGGGACCCACGCAAGGCATCCTAGACCATGCAGGATTCCATATTCAAGGAAGGAGAAAAATAGGCAAACAAATAGAAATAACATATACGGTCATCCGTTCAGCAACCTGGAGTAAACCCTGGGTAGTACATGGAGCATATGACAGTGATACCACAATCCATTCCCGGACATTTTTTTGATATAAAGAACGAACAGCTGCTTCCCAAGCAGGATCATTGACAACAGTTGACGTTGTGTCATTTTGAACAAAAAAAAGTAATGAATCTACACAAGATGAATTCCACAAAACCTGCACATATCAATCCACTTGTCTCAAATATGCTACTCAAAATGCCAAGCAAGCTCGGAAAACAATATGTAGAATAACCATTAGATGAGAAGAATATCATGAACATATGGCTTTACCTGAGGAAATTTATCTCTCAGCTGACCCAATAGTTTCACAGAAATATCCCGAATGTGTTCTTCCCTCTGTGACATACTATTTATTAAGAAACAAGCATGTGTGAAAAGGGTTGAATCTCTAATCACAGCACCATTGCCTGTTTCAGTTATTCGGTCTTCCTGAACACATATCAAGAAATAATGTGGTTCATTTAGCTGGATAACATGGTACAAGTACATAGATACAGAGAAGAGATAAAAGAGCAGGACATAAACCAGTCTTCTATCATGCTGGTAGAAAAGGGGGTGATGAACTAGTACTGCTTGGGAAGGCCATCCAAGAGAATTTAACTTAACTGGATGGAATTAAAAATTACTTAATGACACCAAAGTATGTCATTCTTTCTCAAGAATGTTGCACTCATTTTAAAATCACAACTAAAAGAATGCTTATGGATTAAGATAAAGCTACAGATTATCAAGAATATCCAAAGGCAGTTTAGCTCTATAAAGGACATGCAAGCCTCAAGGGACAACACACATTCCTCACTTTTCAACAATCTGTTATAGGAGCAGAAGAAAATTTTAAAGTGACCAAGAGAAGAATATGAAGGTAACTTTCAACTCTGTTATGTGGCAATTTTCAATATGACACGAATATAGAGAAATGACTAAAGCAGAATACAAAGCCAGAAAAAGAAGACATTACATTAATGCTCAAACAGGTCAGAATATGTATATATGTAATATCATGAATATAGTCACACAAATACACACATGATCATTATTTAGAATAATTTAAAAGATAATAATTTGTAGGAGAAATAAACCTACCACACAATTCAATCATTTGAAGAATAACTTTTATTCTAAATGATAATTGAATTTATTTAAAGCTGATTGGTAATTTTCGACAGGAGTTGATTTAAGAAGCAAGATACCTGTATATTATAAATGTGCGACTTTCTTAAGCTTTTGGGTCTATCTCTGGTGCTATCTTATGCATAACTCTTTGCTAAAACTCCTTTTTTCATATTTCTTACCGAAAAGAGAAAGTGAGCCAAGATAAAGAAGTGTAAAACTATAATTGTTGAGCAAGACAGTCGCAAGATAAGCAACCCAACATCTTACGTAATTTGTTCTTATTAAAATAGAAGCCAGTTGATTGAATGATTATTAGTTTAATTATAATTGACAAATCAAATACGTAAAAGGTGCATACCACTGCAAAATCTCCTTACATAATGATTGTACTCAAAATGAGAATGAAAACAAACAGCATTAAATGATGCTCCAAATGCTTCAAGTAAATTGAAAACGTACCAGCCATGACACTGCTGCTTCGAATGCCTTGTGCACAATTGCTGTCAAACATTGAGAAACAGCTGGCATAAGATTTGGAGTTTTTAAGTATTCAAAGGCACAACTGAAGGCACTCCTAGAATAGTTTAAACTACTGCCATCACTAGTGTCATTACTAGTGGCATCGCTAGTGCCACCATTCAGGATGCCACCATTACTGATGAAACGTATTATCTCTAGGAAAGCCACAGCAAGAAGATAGGTGGCCTTTACACCTGTAAAAAAAAGCCCAAAGGCATCACTTAGAGCCTAGTAAAAAAACAATGCCTGCTCCCCAGTTCTTTAAAACTAATAATAAAACAGTGGACAGACCGAATAACAAGATATTATCACAAAAGAAATGATTGAACATGGAGATAATAGGTATATCCACCATCAAGTCAAAGAAGTTCACTAGACCTGAAATTGTGGTCATTGCTCCAACATCCACTCGCCCACCTAATGCCGTGGAAAGAGCTGTTCTTTGGCTTATAGCAGCTTTCTCGTTGCCAGTCCCTTGACGACTGGAAGGGTTATGAAGGGTATTCAGTTCCAACTCATCTTCAAGCCATTTCACAGAGCTCACAACCTGCAACGAAACACAATGTCAATGAAATTGTAGTTTACTTTAGAAAATCCTCACAGTCATCATTTAGACAAACACACAAACCTAGGTCAAATATAGTGCGAAAAAAACCAGGCAGTTTTCTGTTCAGAATCTTAACTCACTCAAACTGAGTTGATGCAAGCACAATCAAAAGACCAATTAAAAGGGGAAACCATACTCCATAATAAAATTAGAAGGATAAACTATTATGGGTATAACAGAATAAAGTTGCAAAAGCCTAGGACAGGCATCGCACTCCCTAGTTAGCTCAACAACAGGGGGAAAAAAGAAAAAAAAAAGTAAATGTATAAAAGCTTCCAACATTCAGCTTCTAATGCAGCCATTGCAACTAGATCGTACATCCGGCTGATAAACAACATCTTCACTAGACAATTGTACCTTGATTAATGTCGTACTGTCAGATTTGTTGGCAAATAATTAAAGATAAACCAGTCTAACAAATATAACTAGCACAAAAAAGAAATTGATTTGTAAAATGAAATACTGTAGATGCTCATGGAAGAACTCTTGAAAATCCACTTACAAGGGGAGGAGTCCCTTGAGCAATACGCTGGACAGAAGAAGACCATTGTGCATCCCACATATATGGTCCTCCCACTGCTTGAAGGGTAATATTACCAGTGCTTCCTGAACTGTTTGATGTAGTGGAATCTGATTTTTGACTCTTTTGAATAGGAGGTGCCAATCCAAAAAGAGCAATGTAGAACCACAAGTTGCGGAATAACTTCAGCAGTGAAGGTTCCAGATCCACCGTTGGGTCAAAATCAGAGCACATTTCAGCAACAGCAGGAAGCAGGGCTCCCAGAAAATCAGCTCCACTCCTGCAAGATTTGAAATAATAAATATAAAATATCTGAAACATGTATTACTAGGATAAAACAGAAAGTATGTAGAAAGAAAGTCATAAAACACAGAGAGAAAAATAAATTAACAAAATAAGGAAAGACAATGTATTGCTAATCAGAAAATATCTACCTGCCACTTTTTGACTCGGCCGCCAAGCCGACATCAGAGCACAAGGATAACAAGCGATGACGGTAGTCTGAACGCAATTTTGCATTCTTAAGATCGGTAGCAATTAAAAGAAATCCCGCTGGAAGAGTCTAGAATGTGATTGAACGAATGAGCATCCAACCTATAAGAAAAACTACCAGACAGCTAAATAGTTATTTCTATCTCACAAATATTTCACACCTCAGAACGTTCTGTATCGGCCTCTGATGTTGATGATTTGTTTTCTCCAGACCCTGCACTCGAAATTTTACTCAAGTAACTTCTTGTCATCAGAACAACTGTTTCCCGGTACGACTTCTCGAATCCTAAACTTGCCATGCGAGACACAGCATCAAGAAGCTGCAGTAAACAGAGTACATGTCTAAGTTGAGAAACCATGCCAAGTAATCTAAAGAAGCAAAAGAGTTAAGTAAACTCTTTCAGTTACTTGCATATGTTAATAGTAGAAAAAGAATTTTGAAATTTATAATTACAAAATACATACTCGAAGTCGCAGTAAACTAGGAGTTATAGCATCACCCTCTTCTAAGCTTTCAATAAAAAGTGGAAGTATCATATCCACAACTTCAGGCTTGCTGATAGCAACATTTAGATCAGCCAACAAGCGTATTACATTAAGCTGAACTGCTGGAACTTCCTGATTCTCTTTATCAGCCTGAAATTTTCACGACTATATAAACATTGTGTTGAAGTGAGATTAAACAAGGTTAATAGCTACTAGTTATGTATAAGCATAAAAAAAGGCAACATACCTATTACCTAAACAAGCAAATAGCCTACTAAGGTCTTACAGCCTTACATGCAACAGATAACATAACATTACTGATCCATATTAAATAAAAATAAAAAGCAGCCTCTGTACATGCAAATGTGGAATGCTCTGGCAAAAAGCAATGACAAGAAAAGAGAAGGAGTTTTAAACTAGATTGAGAATAAAGATTATATGTGTTGCATGTTTAACTGTTCAGTGCATTTGGCCCACACACAAACACATGCAGTTCTCTGTTTGGCTTAATCATTCAATAGTTAATATTCTACCACCGACCTGCTCTACATAATCATTTCTCTCACGAATGCTTGTAGCTAATCCCATGATAAATGTATCTATTGGAGCTCGGTCTTTGGCCCAGCCAGATTCAATAATTTCACAACATGTCTTAAGAACTCCGTCAAACATGACTCCTTGGCTGCTGCCCCAGGTATCTGCCTGTTACATTCACGTTGTAAAGAAACACAAAACAGAAAGGGGAAAGAAAAAAACGAGGAAAAGAAAACTATTAAGACCATTTTTGAGATTTAGAATCTAAGCTACAATACATACCTGCATACATGCAGCCAACACAAGGGGTTTGAGACGAATGAGCAATACACGCAGTGGCTGCCCACCCCTAGAGACAGCAACTTGTGCAATTCCCGAGAGCAATGATGTAAACAGCTCCTCACAAGCTCTCAACTTTCGCCATACGGAGAGAAGACATGCTTCAGCAGCATCTATCAACAATGCAAGAGTCTCAAGCGCCAATTTCTTAGAGGTCTTCGCATCCAAATCAAGAGATTCAAGACTTGCAATTTGCATCCTAGCAGCAGCTCTATAAACCGATAGTTTTGTGCTAATTTTGGATTTTAAGTTTTGCCCTTGTTCATTCCAATCATGCTTGCTAATCTGCATATCAAGTCAAAAAGTTGTGTCCATCACGTTTTTCATTTCTTCTACAAAGTTCATATTGTAACTTATTCTATAAAATGAGTACAATTTTCCAATCTTTTTTTAGCCCATTTCTTCAGTAAAATTCACATGCTAACTTCACCAATATAATACATCACTCAGTTGCTTATATTTAAAGAACATGAATAAAATAACACAATATATCCTTTGGCATTTACCTTCAGAAATGCAGACATAGATTGAAGCTGCTTCTTCGCTATTAACCTCACTTGCTGCAAATGCTTTTGATCAATGCTTACTTTTACCAAAACATGAGCAATCATTTTAAAAACAACTTGTTGCTTCTCCAAGCTCTCCATAGACTCTTCCTCGAATGAAGAAACTATTTGCTTACACATAGCCCCACCTCCATCATTGATAAAATTCAACTGATCAGCACAACTATTCCAATAAAAACTTCCATTGGATTGAGCAGCCGAAATCTCTAAGTCTCCTGGAATTATCTCCCCTTGTGACGCCGGAACCAACGTGGCTAATTGTTTGAAAAGGTGATCTATCAATTGATCGGCATCTGACGGTAAAACTGGCGGGAAGTTATCAGACAAAGCCAACACGAAAGCCCTGGAAATTGCAGAATCGTTGGTGTTCGCATCCTGGCCACGAACGGTGGTAGTGACTACCTCCCCAAAGTACTCGGCGATCTCGGAAGCTAAATCTTTAGAAGCATTAGCGGCTTCGCACACGTATGTCAAGAAATCAACGTAAAATGAAGCAATTGATTCGGACTTGTAAGACTGCGGCCAAAATGAACGACGCAAAGTCAACGGAAAGGCCTTGATAAACTCTAGCAACGTCGATATAGGGCGGTCATCCTTTGAATGGGGACATTTAGAAAGGAATCGAGCGACGGCAATCACCGCATTGAGTTGCGACCTCGATGCCCTGGCTGAATCGTTCTGTAAATTCTCCGGCTGCGGGCACCTACCGCAAATCCAAGCCAGTTTATCTCTAAACTGATCCGGAAGTTTCGCTATGATATCGCACAGTTCGATCATCGGATCCATGTTCGATCACCAAAATTCTGAGTTTTTAGTTTTTAGAAAAATCTTGATCAAAATAATATTCAGATTTGCGTCACTTCAACAAAATAAAATTTGAGAAATATCAGATCAAAATGTTTACGATTTCGGATTTCATTTCTTGATCGAGAAGCTTTTTCGTAATGCGGATATCGCTTTTGTTTTTGCATTTGTGGACGTTGCCTCCATTGTCTCTTTATTTCCTTTTTTTTCTCTTTGATCTTTTATTTATTTTTTTTAAAACCAATTTATAACACCAGTTTGTCTCTCCTCAATCTTCGCGCCTCTAGCTCGTTGGCTTCCTTTCTTTCCTTTTATATATTTATTTATTTTTATTTTAAATTAACGGCATTAATGCCTCACGGCTCATACTTTGCCATTTTTTTCCATTTTCCTCCTACCTGGTAAAAATTATATTAAAATTTGTCTATAACTTTTACTATTTTTTTTGTACTATCATTACAATTAATTGCATAGATATGACAATCCTTGTATTGGAATAGGATAATCACCAGATGAAAGTTTTATTTTAAAAAAAGTTAAAATTACCATATGAAATCAAAGAAAGATTGATGTTTTTAATTGTACTCCAAAATATATGAAAATTACATTATACTCCCTAAAATTTTGGAAAACATTCATTAATATATACTTCATATGCTTCCTCGAAATAAGTTGTTAATGAACTTTTCTCTCTTCAATACTCTTTTATAATTTACATTATGATGCTTATAGTCCTTTTACAAAATGTGTATGCGCTAAATTACTATTAAAAACATGTGATATGAATTACTTTTTTTCATGCTTCCGTAGTAAGAAAATAAGTATCAAAAGTATTTTTCTTATTTTCATTATCAAAAACAAAATTTGGTTTCTATTTACTAAACACGTTTTTCAATTAAAAAAAGCAGGAAATAAGACTTATTTTTAAAAAATAAAATAAAAATAATATTTTCAGACTAATTCTGTTTTTTTTTTTTGCATTCATTTGCCTTACAACTGAGAAACAAACATCTTAGCTACTGGTCCAGCCTATTAACTAAGCCCATCTCTGATAGACCCACTAACATTACAAAACCCAATTTGAGATTTGTATCATCTTCATTAACAATGAAAGCATGGTCTAAAATCTCAAGGTAAGGAATGAATTGTAGCATAGCAATGGAGGACTTAAAGCCCAACCTGAGTTCAATATTCTGTTTCAAGCACACCATCTATGATTCCAAACTCCAAAGCCTGTTAAGATAATACCACATGAAGATAAGCACACCCGTTAGTCTTCTCTTTCATTTGTTTAAAGTTTGAACACACAGGCATTTAGGCCCTAAAAAATGGAAAATCGGTTCGACCTCGGTGGCCATTATCTTTTCCTCCTATTCAAACCAAGCAACAACAAAAGACACGCATAGTAATTTCAGCAAACATCGATGGTTGAGCACCATTAACTAGTGTTTTCAAAAACCATAAAGCAGCATTACCTCAGAAACAGATAAGAAGCGGTCCCTCTCTGTGTATTGTTGCACTTTTTCAAGTGGTTGGCCAGTGAAAGCCGCGTACATTTTGTCAATTTTCTGCAAACAAACGTAATAGAGGAAACAAAATTTAAGGCTAAAAGGGGTTTTTCGAATTAGCATAGCAAATTCAGGAAGCATAACTAGGAGTTTGATCTACTCGATTCATTGGTAGATTAAAGAGGAAATTACATGGCGAGATTGAACTGCTTCATTCACTTGACGTCTCACATCTTCAACATGACCCTTCAAAATGAAAAATAAAACATGGCAAAATCAATTCAATAAGAAAAAATGTACGCCCTAACCAATTCCAACAAGTACATGAATAATTACAAAATGTTTCAAGCTTATTACAAAGAGTTCAAGAACTTCAAAATTGGTTCATAAACCTTTTCTAAATGCAGCAACTAGCATGCAAACCAAGAAGCTAAATCATACCCCACATCCACTTTGCGGTTGGTGTATCATTATACGTGCATTTGGCATTGCATAACGCATCCCCTTCTCTCCACCAGCAAGGAGGAGTGCACCTTGGCTTGCAGCTACTCCGAAACAAACTGTGCCCACCTTTGGCTTTATCTGAAATAATGGTGAATTGATGCTTGCAAAATAAGATATTTCAATAAATCAAAATAGAAACTAATGGGGAAAACAGGCTAAAAGAATATTAAAATCTCACCCAAGACATGCAATCATAGATTGCCAACACTGAATAGGTGCTTCCACCAGGGCAGTTCAAATACACCTGAATGGTATAGGTTAACATAATAAAGTCAGAGCAGGTTCCGAAAATGTGGATTTAAAGCCCTACAACCTAAGCAACAAAAGGAAAAATAGAGAATGCAGAGAGAAATGGATAAAATATGACCACACCAAAATATCCGCATCTTCGTCAATTGCTGCCAGAGTCACAAGCTGTGATATAACTCTTTGTGCTACCTGTGCATTGACTGGTTGTCCAATAAAGATGATACGATTCCGGAATAACACAGTTGAAAGGTCCAACGGCCCTCCTGGAGTCATTACTGCTGGCATCACAGGTGGATTCCCTGTTTTAGCTTGTATTGCATCATAGCTGTACATAAGAGGTATCATGATGTCTAAAATATCACACACTGAAACGGATGGTATTTACTATTCAGAGCGGTGCAAACATTGTCTTGTCCAATAGCTAACATTCAATATAGGTTGGAAGGTAGCAAAATCTCAAAGGATTTTCTCAAAGGATTTTCCTTCCACATTGCAACTTCATATCTAAACCATCATCGAATTTGTCTGACCAAAAAAGGGGGAAAGAATTCCAAAACTAGATATCACCGGTGGTCTGTTCTCGACAAACTTCGTATGCATTGTTCATATGCATTAATGACAAGACACGAAGCAGTAATATGAAAAATGAAGCGAAAAATTAGAGTAAGAAACCTTGGATTGGATTCATGGAAGCCCTTCTTGTTGACCTTCATAGGTAGCCCAGAAGTTCTACCAGATAACGCTGAAAGCATAACAATCTAATTTATACGCACACAAAATAATAGCTCTACAAAGACGCCAGCAAGCAAGCACTAGATGAGATAAACATACATGAATTTAAAAGAATCAAAAGGGTACAATCTAAATTAAGATAAGAGTAAAAGGCCAATAACAAATTGATTAAATTTCAAGAATCGAGGAGTTACCCATTGTAGAATAGTCTCCACAAGGGGATGACAATGCAGATACACTCAACCTCCTCGAGCTTCTGATGATTAAAACAATTCAAAAGTTAGAAACAAAAATCCAAATTCAGTGAAAACCAGCAGGAGAAAACATGTACCTCGGAGAAAGGGGTGAAACAGAAGTGGGTCTGGTTCTGGTAGAAAGAGAAAGACTCAGAGAAGCAGAAAGAGCCGAAGCTGCCATTTGTGTAGAGATTTATCAACCCAAAGAAGCGAATTTGAGATTTTTAAGAGGAAGTTTTGATGGAGGAAGAGATTTCTTTCTTTGCAGGGGACAGCTAGGGCGACGAGGATTGCGATTGCAGGTGACTTTGTTTACTGGGTTATGGCTTTTGACCCATAGTGTTTTTTTCTTGCTAAATAAAGGCCCCAATTCTTCTGTCTAGGATACTAGGATCAATCCATTTCTCCCTCCAAATTTTCTAGTTTAACTGGGCCTTTGGACAAAATACTAGTTTGAATTCGGCTAGTTACCGTGAACATCTTTTAGACCATTTTCACATTTTAGTATTTATTTTGTTGATTTTGGTACTTTTAAAGTAATAATAAGTCCCTTGTAACAAAAAAATAATAATATTAAGTCCCTGAACTTTTTCACTTCTCTTAAAATTTTCCCTGAATTTTTGTCTAAATTTATCTTTGAACTTAATTGTTGGTAGGCGTGAGATCAGTTTGGTTCGGTCGATAATTTTTAAATCATCTTTGATAATTCAGTTTAGTTCGGTTGATAGATTTTATAATCGTCTGGGCATAATGTTTAAATTCATCTCTAACCTTTGAACAAATAATAATTTTGATTTTTATTCTTTTTAAGCACTTTAGCCCTAATATTTTATTTTGGAACAAAATATTCTATGATTAGATGAAAATCGTTAATTGAATAATGATCAATACTTTCGTTAATGTGACAAGTCATACGTGTCTAAAGTAATGAGCTATCATGTACTAGGCCATTACCCATGTACATGTGACATGTACCATGCCATCATTGCAGTACATACTATCATAATCATTTTTCTATATAAATTATTTAAAAATAATTATAACTTTATTTCAGAAAATTTGGATTTTTACTTAATTTAAAATTTTGTAGTCACCATTGACCTTTCGTTAGGTAGGTTGAATACATGAAAATGCATTTTAATTTTTTTTAAGAAAAACCATTTAAAGTGACAAAATCGGTTAGCGTATTACTAGAAATTCGTTTTTAAGGATTCAGGAGTCGATTACTAGAAAATCGGTGAGCACCCCAATAGCGTCCAAAATTGGTACCAACGATTATATGTTGTCTAAATAATGAAATTTTACAAATTTGAATTCAAAATTTAAATTATGACCCTTTTATTTTTACGATTTTTTAAAAAAGAATGAGTAATCTATTTTTAAAATATTTGACTCGATGAAAATGATTTAATTCACTCGATTTTATTTAAAAGGGTGTTCCCCTACTGCGTGGATTAAGGAAAATTGAAATCCAGTCATATTGGATGCAATTCCATCAACCTACGACGTAAGACTACATTGCCTTCAATCAATTTGAAAAACGAGAAAATAAATACATGATTTATGAATGCATCATTAATAAGTGTTATGTATAGGATGCATGAGATATCAAATATAACAAACAAATAAAAAAAATAGGACACATTCAATATTTATACTATTAAAATTTGAAATTCAATGGCATATTTTTTTACTTGTGTGTCTTAAGGGATTGCACTCCAGGTTTTTGGATGCTTTCCCATAGATCACTTTTTGTTCGTGACGTAACCACAAAATAAAATATAATTATTTTTTATTAAAGTAATTTTATTATTAAAAGTATTAGTGTATATAAAAAAAGAGAGTATATTTACTTAAAATTAAATAAAGTATGAGTGTGTATATATATATATTTATTAAAAATACTATAAAATATAAAAATGTGTTTTTTATTCAAATAACCCTTAGAAGGGCACTCCAAATATCAAAATATTAAAATTATATCTTTATTTAACTACTATATATATAATAAAATATTAAAAGAGTCTTTCTTAATAAAATATATATACAATATTACATCATATATTTAATATTATTTACAATCACATATTAATATATTATTTAAAATTATACAATATAAATACATATATTAAAATGTGAGAACTAAAATGAAGATAATAAAAAATACAAGGACCACATACATAAATTAATCATGTTTAAGAAAAATGACTAAATCTTAACATAGCAAGGATAATAATGACTTAACATGCAAACAAGCCAAACATTATAGGTAAAATATTAAAAACATTAACTAAAATAGGCAGGGATCAAGACACAAATGTAAATAAATTAGAAGTCTCGAAATGCAAATAAACCAAACTTCATTCATGACTAAAGTGAAAACATCATAAAAGATGATTCTTCCTTAAGCAAATATACCTTATTACCTAAACATGGACTTTTCTAGCCCTAGACAAACACGACCGTGGACTAATCATGAAGGCTTGCTTAGGTTTAATTTAAAAAACCTAATCACCCTTTATGATTCCTTGAGCCGTTCTCTCATTCTCCAACTATTCTTTCTTTTCCTTTTTTTACTTGTCAATGGGTGGAAGAAAATCACCATTCCACGACGTCGTTCGTGGCCACGAATGGTGGCCGAAACTCACATAAAACTCTCAAAAAGCCACTCGGTACCCCAAAATTTGAAACCAAGCCTCATTTTCCCTAAAACTAAACATAAAGCCATAGATCTAGGACAATCATCTCGGGTATTACCTGTTTTTAGGTTACCCTTAGTTTTTCGATGAATCTACGCGCTCTCCGGTGACCAACGAGATAGATAAGTTATCTCTCTCTCCTATTTATTTTCTCTCAAATTTTGATTTGGTTCTTTAGTTCTCTTTGTTTTTTTTTTTTTTGGTTTTGTTCGAAAATGGTTATGTTTACTTGAGATTTCCCTGGTGGCTATGTATATTTGTTTCATATGAATCCCCTATCAATGATTGTTCTCTATGGGTTCTTCTTTCTTTTTTTTTTCGAACCCCTCCCATTGATCTCTTTTATTTTTAGAACCATGGTTTCAAAAGATTCCCTTGCCGATGCTCACCAAAACGCCATCCATGGTGACCGAAGTTTGAAGTAAGTACTCGGTTAAAGCCCTCTCAACCCCTATCTCTAGATCCAAAGCCGTCTAAGCCTAAAAGTAAAGATCCAACCCCAATTTACAAAGATTACCTTCGGGTAATAATTTTCACCGATGTTCAAGCTCTCCGGTGGACCACGAACAACAAGACATGTAACATTATTTCTCTTTTTTCGTTTACTTTCCTCTTCTCTTTTTTTGCTTGTTTTCGAATCTCCCTCTAGCCTTTGGATCTGTATCCTTTCTAAAATGGTGATAGTTTGTGTTTTGGTGAGGTGATGATGGTGGGTTGTTGAAATCCCAGATTTTATGGGATTGGTTGTTTATTTTAATGGACTTGATTTGATTTTTCACTGTGGATGATATTGTTGATTTGTTTTTTCTTTTACTGTTATGAACAACGGTGGTGGTTGGCTTCTTAATAGTGACTACATGGCGGCCGGAGCTCGATTGAACAGTCTCCTTAGTGGTTGGAAGTGACAACGGTGCAACTATTATTGAAGACTGGTAGCGATGGCGGGAAGCTAGGTTTAGAATTAGTGTAAATTATAAAAGTTAGGGTTTTGGATTGCTGAGCTTGGTGTAATTGGGCCTGTTGGGTCTTGTAATTAATTTGGACTTGTATTTTATCCTGCAAAAAATGTAAATAATATTAATTTAATAATAATAATAAATAAATAAAAACTCTGAACAAAAAATGATGTCAACAACTATCCCTCTTTGCCCATTGATGTGAAGACAAATAGGGTAAAGACAATCAAACATTTTCTTGCATCTTTTGTTTTGAAATTTGATGTTATCTCAAGAGAGAATGAAAATGATCTTTATCTAAAGAGATTTTTCAAAATTTTGTTTCAAGGAAAACAATTTCAAAAAAGATTGAAATTTATAATGTTAGAAGTTGCACTTTTAAGAGAGAAATTTTAAGCATGACAAAATTTGTTTCAAGAGAAACAATGTTGACGGTTTGGGTTTGAAAGAAAACTGTCTCGAACGAGAAAAAATTGATTTCAAAAAAGTTATCTAACACGAGATAAAATTGTGCTTTTGAGATAGAATTGCTTCGAGTTAGGCAAAATTTATTTTGTATTTCAAGGGAAACTGTGATAAGCAAGATAAAGTTTTGCAGCAAGAAAAGCAATCTTAAAGGATACAAGCTATATGTTCCTTCGCGTTGAGGAAGTCTAATTGTTGTTTGATGAGTTAACGCTTCATTTGAGAATGTTTGGCTTGTTAACGACATTATTTTTTCACGTTGAGGATGGTTAGTCACATTTGAGAGACTGCCTCTGAAGACAACATTGTTCCTTCGTGTGAGGAAGTCTGATTGCCTAGAGGTAATTTGATTTGGACACAACACTACTCCTACGTGATGAGGAGATCTTGTCTCTTTTGGTGATTTGCTCGATGTCAAATATGATAATGACATTGCCCCTTAGTGTCGAGGAGGTCTAGTCGGTGGATGACATTGTTCCTTCATGTTGAGTACGTCTAGTCGTACTTGGATAATTGCCTATGGAGACAACATTGTTCCTTCACATTCAGAAAGTCTAATTGTCTGGAGATAATTTGATTTTGTAAACGACATTACTCCTACGCGGCGAAGAGATCTGATCACTTTAGATGATTTGCTTGATGTCAAATCTGATGATGACATTAGTCCTTCACGTTGATGACGTCAAGCCATGATTGAAAGATTATTATTCTACTAGTGAGATGGATTTCTCAATCCTATTTGAAAAGAAAACATTCTCAAAATAGTTAAAATTTATAATGCCAGAAGTTAAACTTTCAAGAGAAAGAAATTTTGAGCAAAACAAAATTTTTTCAAGGGAAAAATGTTAATGCTTTGAGTTTCAAAGGAAACTGTCTCGAGTGAGACAAAAATTAATTTTAAAAGAAATTATCTTAAGTGATAAGGTTTTTTTCTTTCGAGAAAACTGTCTCAAATGAGATAAAATTTGTTTGAGTTTGTGCTTCAAGAGAAACTATAACACCCTAATCCGATACGACACAAAGTCATTCGATTATAATGCTACATGGGACCACCAGAGTGGCTAACCTATTTTTTTTCTTTAAAACCATTAAAACTGTAAAAAGTAATACAAATTCAAGAATAAGTAAATCAACATAATTAAAATAAGGTTTTATCGGGTGCTCCCAAAAAATAAGTATATCAAAAT